AAGGAGTCTAAATCTTAAATTAAAAATGGCTTGGCTAAGTCATAAGAGGAAAGTAATTATGACTATCTAGTCTTCAACCCCATCAAAGGCCTGAGAAAGGAGATAATATTACTTTAGTAGACAGGAAGTGCAATCAAGGAGCTTCCAAAATGTGCAGTAGATGACAAAGACAGCTGGCTACCTGGGCAGTCACCCAAAGTCTCATTTGCAACATTGGAGCAACCAACTTTGGCTAAGGCCTCGAGTGACTGACAGACCATTTTCAGAGGCAAGAATTTTTTCAAAACCTCCTTGTCCTATCTTGGCAAGCTTTGGCAGTCTTTTTAATGCTCATCCAGTCTGGTCATTGTGCATTTTGTCAGTAGTTGAGGCAGGGGCAAATCTTTGCCCAAAGGCCAGTTTTGCCAGGAAGAACACAAGCTCCAAGTGGGCTGTCTTTGGTGCCCAACATTCCCTAGGAAATAGGTGGGTGCTGCCAGTAGCAACTGTGTCTCACGCCAACAGAATCCTAAATTATTTGAATGTCATATCCTACAGATGTTTGGAGTGTTTGAAGATTACCTATCTATGTGGAATACAATCTCTATGCACTTAAAGAACCTGATTAATCTAAGTATGGAAAACATGGGTGACTATTGACCTATAATTCTTAATGCATATATAGCTTAAAGACTAAGGCTTCATATTAAAAAAAATGAAATAGTCTTTAAACAAATGTGCAGCAAATGAAGACAATGACCTCAAAATGTAAACAGTGTATAAGTGTCTTGATCAGAGGTAGGAATGTATATTGCAATATGACAAATAATCCTGAAATTGCATCAATATACAAAATGTCTTAAGCATGCATGCATACAATATGACAAAATAAGTCTGCATATGCGCACAAATATTGTAAACAGAAATAGGTGCATATTCAGTATAACAAATATAATTTGAATTTGTATCAATATAAAAGAATTTCCACCAGTATAAATTGTCTATAAATAATAGCTCACAAGTAATCACACTATTACTCACTATTATCCCATCCATCCCCCCGCCCCTTTTGTAACAGATTCTACATCTATTAATCTATTGAGATCATCTTGGTTACTTTCCACGTTAGACCATTTTGAATATACCTGCCATGCATAGGTTTTTTGTGTTGAGTTTCCAGTTTCCTGGTTAAATAAAAACAATGTGATTGCTGGATCATTTGCTAAGATGTGCTTAGTGAGAAACTGTCAAAGTGTCTTCCAAAGTAAATTATCCACAGGCAAAGGGGGAAAGTGCACACATTTTTCATTGCCTCTGTCAGTTTGCTTTCCTATAGTAGCTCTGTCCGATTGTTACCTTTGTGACTTTGTGGGGACACTGGGTTTCTGTCCTGCTCTTCTCTTTCTCTGTGCACACTGACCTCCTTTTCTGTCTCAGTACCTGTGCTGACAGTCTTCAAGTTGGGTGATTTCCCTCTTGGTGTTCACCTTCCTGAGTAAAGACTCTGGGTTCTTCTCAACACAAACATTAGATACCCACAGAATAATTTGCTGCGATTTGGTGGGGGGGGGGCAGGAGCAGCATTGATCCATAGATGAAGTTGGAAGAATTTATATTTGGCACTAGTCTCCCTATGAATTTGATATGCAGAATATCTATTTAATTAGTTTCATGGTTTTATCTTGTAAAACATTTATTTACTTTTATTTTTTGAGCAAATGTTTTTCCTGCATTTATGTGTATGTACTATGTGCATGCAGTAAGGCCTGAAGAGAGAGCATTGACACCTGAGAAATCACTGGAATCACAAATGGTTCCTGTGTCACCATCTGTTGCTGGGAACTGAACCTGGGTCCTCAGCAGAGCAGCCAGTGCTCTCAACTGCTGAGTCTCAAGCTGCCTGTTTATTAATATTTTACTTTTATTTTGTATATTAACTTATCAACAGCTTTTTCATATGGGATTTTCATATATACTTTACTTTGTTGATTCTTCCCTCCTCTGCTTTCTCGGGTTTTCAGTTGACTTTCTACTTTTAAATTTAGCTAATTGATACATGATAAATGACCATTGGGCCCACAAGCGATGTCATTGTTGACCTTAGATAACAGTTGTTTCTATAGAAAAATGAGAAAGGAGCTCAGTTTGAAACTCTTAAAACAGAGAGAAATTGGAGACACTGATAAAGACAGAGCTTTGAAGGAGGGTTTTCTATTAAAAGAAGAGTAGCTTAAGGTGAAAGCTGGAAGGGTTAGAGAAACAGAAGTTAGTTTTTTAATCATGTTTTGGGAAATGGCATTGCTGGATTCTTGTGGATGTTGTTCACCTGAGGGAACTGATACAGTGTAAGGCAAAGTGGATGTGTGTGGAGTTCTGCCTGTGGAAGGAACAGAAACAGAAAGAATGTACATCAGTCAGGAAAGATGGTTGGTTCTTATCACCCTCCCCCACTTCCTGCTCAGCTGAGTCCTCTGTGGCAGGTCTGCTGCTGCCCTATGAGATGCTTTGAGTTAATGGACTTAGTTTGGAAGTTCTTCTTTCCCATACCTCCTGGTGGGTCTGCCCCAGCCTCTCTTTTCCACGTGATGCCTTAATGTAAATGAAGGCCCTGTAGGCCAGGTGCTTCTGTTACATTTAATGTCCTGCTGGAATAGGGTTCAACGAGCTCCTCATGCAGCATAAGAGGGGAAGAATTTAGTTTCACAGTGGGAATCTTTGGTCTTCTACCAAATAACAGGATTTAAGATGGATTCTTCACCTTGTCCATCTTTATTTCCTCAGGATTGGTGGATTTGTCCAAAGAACCATCTTTTCAGACTATAATTCTACAGTCCATTAAAACGCATTGACCTCAACTCACTTTCTATTCAGTCATCTGAAATATAAGTGTTCTGAGGTAATTTTGTTCTTTGGAAGTTGGTTATATATATTTGGGTACTTACACAAGTAAGTATTTGCAACGTCTGTCAGTAGAGCAGAAGCAGTCGCAGTGAAGTTACAGAAACAGAGAAAGCATTTGGAGTATAGAATAGCCTTTGTTGAGATGTTGAGCATAGAATAGCCTTTGTTGAGATGTTGTGTCTTAAGCTTCCTAGTTTTGTAGTGTCATTTTTGCAGAATTAATAACATGTTAAAATGACGCCTGTGTTATTAATATGGCTGTAGTACTGTTTCATCATTATTATTTAAATAGGACCTCCAGATCATTTCCACATTGATGGGTAGTGTAAAAAACAGAAGTATTTGCATACTTACATTTAGAAATCCAGGATAATTTGTGATGTAAAAACTTAGAGGCAAATGGGTCATGTCTCAGCTATTAAGGACATGTGCTGCCTTAGCAGAGGTCCTGAATTTGAATCCCAGCACCTATATCAGGTGCCCTAACCTCCAGAGGATCTGAAACTGTCTCCTAGACTATGTGGGCACCTTCACTCATGTGCACATGTCCTCCCTGCCTACCCCATCCCATATACACATGATTAAAAATAAACGTGAAAATTTAAACAAATGGAGAATGACAGTTTGTAGCAGGTGTGCAGTGTTTACGGGAATCTTAGAGTTCCCGTACTAGCCACAAATTGTGAGTTTAGGTTATACTGAACTGTTACATTTTTTTATTCCATATGTGATACTGATGTTGAGCACGTTGCATTGAAATGTTAATGTGGTTCAATAGAATTCAAGTCTTGATTTCTTAACATTCCTCTACAAGGACCCACGGTTCCTGAGACTGATTCCAGGCTAGAAGAGTTGACGTTTCTCATGCCAAAAAGGGAGAATATACTCTAAAATGATGCCAGCATGTTAGAAGCATGTCAGTGCTGTTTTGTAGGCTCTCCCACTGGGCAAATCTAAAATCCAACAGCAAAATGATTACAAACAGTAGTAAATTGTAAAGCATTGGAAAGAAATAGTAATTTATGAGACCATATTAATAACATAGCATTCATATAAACACATAGGGCAAGAGGGAGCTCAAGACAGATGTCAAATGTGAGTTGAAAATTCATGATTATGCCAATGTGTCATAGTAAGTTCTGAGGATTCCAAGTGAGTGTTACGTCTAGAGAAGAAATTTGAATGAAGAGTAGCTTGTTTGCATGGTTGTAGTCTGACCAAAGAATACATACTGGCTGCAGGAAAAGATAGTAACTAAGCAGTGGGAAATCTGGAACATGTGTTTATGACTGAAGCTTAACATCACTGGTGAGGAACAGGACACAATATCCGGGTCTTCAAACTGTCATGACCTCCAATGGTACATCACTTACTTCTCTGGTGAGAAGTGTGTTTATTTGAGTCTTATTATGAAAGAACCACAGACAAACTCAAAAGTATAGCACGTTTTTTAAGGGACTATATTCTGTCAAATAAAAGTTAGAAATATTAAATAAAGGAACGTTAAAGCATACAGCATAAATAGATTTGATGAGGTGCACATGGTGGATTATGCCTGCAGTTACAATGATCCAGTTGGGAAGGCAATAGTATTGCCAGTTCTAGGCCAGCCTGGGGTTACATAATAAAATCCTATAAGAAATAGATTCTAAGTATATAAGATAATAAAGTTTTCATGACCCCAAGACTTGGTCTTATATTGGTGGGGGTTATTACAGATTAGTTGAAAATTTTATCATGCAGATTATAGATTACTGTGGTTGACATATTTACTGGAATTGTAACTGTTGACTTGTACATTATTTTTTGGAGGAGCACATGGAAAGGATCACAGTATTAACTTTGTGTGTGTGGTAGGCGAGGGGGTATAACAAATGTCAGGAGGCATTGGGTAAAGTTATGTAGTGTTTGTGTTTCATTTGGAATATTTCAAAGTGTATGGCCGTGTGCTTGAGGACATCTGTTAGTCTTGTTGCTTTAGATTGCGTGTTTAATTTTATTCTAATTAATAAATTGCATTCATCTTAAGGATGTTGACCTAAATTTTTATAGATGTGTATACAAGTGTTTATATAGGTATTTATACATCTGTATATTGATTTTTGATTTCTTTTAACTAGTGCTGGGCCTAAAGGAGATAACATTTATGAATGGAGGTCGACTATACTTGGTCCACCAGGTTCTGTATATGAAGGTGGTGTTTTTTTTCTGGATATCACGTTTTCTTCAGATTATCCATTTAAGCCACCAAAGGTAAGAACCTGTATATACATTGATTAAATATCCTTCTCCCAAACCCAGGTATTTTAAAATTTATATGTATATTAATGTAATAACTATTATTTCATCATTGTTCATGAATTAATATGAAAATTCAGAACCAATTATTTTGAAACCAAAAAGTTGTTGACTTGTGCCTTTTAAAAATAATTTTGTAATCAGTATAGTTTGTTAGTAGCAAATAAAACTATAAATTGAATAAAACATAAATATGAACTTATGCAAAACTCCCTCTGTGAAATAAACCTTATTGACAGCTTTCAGAAATAGGTTAAAAGGATTTTATCTTTATTTATAGGTAAGCAAAAACTAGAAAACTAACAAAGGAAAAACTATGACTTGCACACTCATTTTGTGCCTTCTCTGAGTGTAATATAAGATTAAGAATGGCAAGCTCACTTCCTTAATTTGTTTAAGCTGAGTGTCTGGCTGGGTAGCTAACAGAAAACCTATACTGACTTGAAGGGCTTCTTCCTCTGGCTTCTCACTGTAAAGTACTCATCTAATAACCCTGGAGCTTAGCCTTTGTAGCTGAGCCTGTCACAGAGGACTCCAGTGTGCCAGGAAGGTTGTTAGGACCATGGCAACCAGCTAGAAAAGTGCGTTTCCTTTTTTTTATTGAATACTTTTTTTTTAATGTAATACATTCTGATTATAGTTTCCCCTCCTCCAACTCCTTCCAGATCTGCCCTACTTCCCTACCAACCCACATCCACACCCTTTCTCCTTGGAATTCAAACAGGCATCTAAAATAATAAAATTTGATAAACAAATAGAAAAAGCTAAGAAAATCTGTTTTTTTTAAAAATGGTATTTCTTTGTATGATTGCTTTTCTTTTAAAATTTTAAAAGTCTTTAAAAATATGTAATGATTCAGTGTATACGTGTATGTACATATATATTGGTTTATCTATCTCATCTGTCCATCCATCGACTATCTTTCAATTCTCTCTCTCTCCGTGTGTCTGTCTGTCTTGTCATCTATCTGTAAAGACTTACTTGGCTTTTAGAAAGGACATTTGACATTTTCTGGAAAGTATTCTCAAACACATTCCAACAAAGTCCCACCTCAAATTAAAAACAGGATGATCTGTCTCTCCTCTCCCTTCCTTTTCTATTGAAAATAGAATCTTCTCTCTTACATTCAGATCTCAGTTTCCCTCACTCATCCCCCCTCCCTTCATCTTTCCCACTCCCTTTCCAGTCCTCTTCAGAAAAGAGCAGGCTTCCCAAGAGAAGTCAGCCAAAAAGGACAAAACAAGATGCAGTAAGTAAAGGTAAAAGCTCTTACACTGAGGCTGAATAAGGCAACCCAATAGGAGGAAAGAGTCAGGGGCACGCCTGCTTCAAGTATCGGAGTTCCATAAAAACACCAAGCTAACAGCCGTAGCATATAGAGAGAGGATCTGATTCAGATTGATGCAGGCCTCATGCTTTCCACTTTGGTCTCTGTGAGCCTTTATGAACTTGGCTTAGTTGAGTCAGAGGGTCATGTTCTTCTGGTGTCCACTATACCTCTGACTCCTACTTCCTCCCACCCAATGGGATTCCTGGTCTCCAAGGGGAGGGATCTGATGGAGAACTCCAATTAGAATCTCTCTCTCTCCTCATATCTGGCTGTGGGTCTCTGCACCTGCACCCATCTGCTACCCGAGGAAAACTCTCTGATGATGATGACTGGACCCATCTATGAGTTTAGCAGAAGATCATTGGGAAATAGGATTTTCTGTTTTGTTTTGCTTTTCTTTACTTTTCCCAGTCAACCCTAGGTCTCTGGGCTGTCCAGTCTCCGGTTCCTGGCCATCCAGGCAGTGTAAGGCTAGTGTGGGCTTCATGTAAAACCAGGCATTGTGTGGCCATTCCTGGGTGTTCTACGTCATTATGTCCCCAGCACATCTAGCAGGCAGGACAGGTTGTATGGGTTCAGGGTTTCTCTTTCCACAGCCTGCAGAGTATCTTCCCACACCGAAGAGACTAGAACATGGGGTGAAGGCTCCATGCAGGCAATAACTCAACCTCTCTATATTCAATAAGTTATGTGGATGTTATCCTCAGCAGTGGGGCCCCCGCTGCCACTTTGTGGAGAGTGACCTGTCCTTGTACCAGCCTGGGTTGTTTGGAGTTCTCCACAGGATCCTCTTGGCCAACAGCTCAACTGGAAGACTTATCTGACTACAGATTCCATATCCTCCATTGCTGGGAGTCCTCCAGCTGCCTCCTCCTTCTACACACACACATACACACACACACACACACACACACACACACACCCCACGTCATCTCAGTTTCCTGCTCCCATCTCCATCTGCCAGTCCATGTGTAAAGTGTATTCTATTTCCCCTTCCCAGGGAGGTCCGTGCATCACTCCCCCTAGAGCCCTCTTTGCCTAACCTTTCTGGTCTGTGGACTGTAGCTTGATAATCATTTATTTATTATTTAACACCCACTTGTAAGTGAGTACACACCATATTTGTCCTCAGTTGGGTTGTTACCTCACTCAGGATGATACTTTTCTAGTTGCTCCTATTTGCCTGCAAATTTCGTGATGTGATTTTTTTAAACAGCTGAATAATACTTCATTTTTAACTGCAGCATTTTATAACAAGATCGTCCTTAACCACTTGAACATAATTCCAGATTTGACTGTTTTTGAGTGTTTTACAGTGTGATCATTAGAATCTAAAATCCTAAAAGTTATCTTTAAAAGCTCTTCAGATGTGCAGGTCTGCCTTTCTAAATCAAATAAAGGGTTAGAACCCTCTTATTATAGTGCCACAAATTGGATTCTCTGAAAATGATACATATTTTTTTATTCTTTGGTTGTCACCTATATAATAAAGCTTTAGTAAACTTTATGCCTATTTTTATAAATAGAGTTGCTTCTATGTGCCTAGTTTTTCATATTGGAAATTGGTCTCAACAAACTAGAAAAAATAGGGGGGGAAAAGATAACAGATATATTTCTTTGTGGGGAATTACATTTACAATTACATTTTTCTTGGCACCATTAGTGGAAAGGGAAATTGTCTAGCAGCTGCCTCTCCCTGCTACTTGATCCCTCCTGCTCTCTTTCTTGACAACTGGGATTATAGGCATGCACTACAGAGATAGGAGGATTGCTGTAAGTTTGAAACAAACCTGGCCAACCAGAGCTACATATCTAGATACCTCATGTCTAAAACCAAACAACAATAGCAACTAAAACCAAAGCAACCTTAACAAAACCTAAGCCAAATATAGTTCTTTCTATACTAAGTCAAAACCACACTAGTATTTTTAACTAAATCAAATTAAACTATTCAGTTTTGTTGTTACGCCTGGTTATTACTTGTTGTCAGCATCTGGTACATGGGACTGCTGAGATGAATTGGTGACACGGCCTGTTTTCTTCTGTTTCTATGTGACTGTGTATAGGTTACCTTCCGCACCAGAATCTATCACTGCAACATCAACAGTCAGGGAGTCATCTGCCTGGATATTCTAAAAGACAACTGGAGTCCTGCTTTGACTATTTCAAAGGTTTTGCTCTCTATTTGTTCCCTTTTGACAGATTGCAACCCTGGTAAGCAAATCTTTTTAAATCTATAAATAAGGCTTTTTAGTTTAATGTTGATCAAGAAATAAATGTTAGAAAGATGATCAGCATAAGATTTGTTTTGAGGGATAATCATGGAGGTTGAGTCAGCGGAATAGTGAATCTGAGGCTGACTTCTCATGCATACTTCTGAGTTAGCTGGGGCTATCTGGTAAAACCCTTTCTTAAAATCACCAAAGACTTATGAGGAAACCAATATCACGTCGGTTAGACACTCAGTCAAAAGTTTCTCAATATTCATTTAGTTTATTAATGTCATGTAGCAGATTCTCATTTAGGCCAGCAACCAGCTTCTGAATCGTGACATGGAGAAATTATTGGCTAGGAATGCTCGTCCCTAGCTCTTATTTTAATGTTTCTCTTTATCTCTACATTTTTCCTTGGGGCTTTTTACCTTTCTTTCTGTACATCTTGTTTTCACTGCTTCTTGTGTGTCTCTGGCTAGCCCTGGGTATGGACTCCTCTCTCTCTCCCTCTCCCTCTCCCTCTCCCTCTCCCTCTCCCTCTCCCTCTCCCTCTCCCTCTCCCTCTCCCTTTCT